GAGGAGGAGCTGTCGCCGTCCCCGTCCAGGATGTCGAGGCCCTCCTCTATGGCTGGGACGTGGACGCACGTCCCCACGATGAAGGCGACCCGCTTTGGCCCAGGCTGCCAGCGCCTGCCCGCCCTTCGGGGCAGCTCCTTCTGGTCGGGCGGAGGAGGCGCCCCCCTTGTAGTGGTAGTGCTCGTAGAGGTGGTGGGGGTCTCCACGACCCCGTCGATGTCGTGAGGAACGGCTGGCGCTCCTCGCCCTCGCGCGGCAGCCTTGCCCCGACCGCGGCGTGGGCGCTGGCGCCACCGTCGCCAGCCTTGCGGGGCTGGCCCCTCAGTCGCTGGAGTCTGTGTCCGCCCCTGGGGGTTTGACGGCAGCCCGCTCCAGGATCCTGGCTCGGACGTCCTGTGCCAGCTCGCGCTTGGGAGTCCTGCCCGTGGCCCCCGCAGGAGCAGCGGTGCCTGCCGCGCCGCCTCCGCTGGCTGCAGCAGCGCCGCGAGCACCGTCAGCGCCAGCAGGGGGAGGGGTTTTTGGCCCCGCTGTGGGGGCTGCCTTGGACGCGGCCGCCCCTGGCTGCTTGTAGTCTGCGCCACCTTTGCCTGCCGCCTTGCCTGCTGGCGCCGCTGCGGCGGGAGCTGCGGCGGCCTCTGGCGGGGGGGGCTCCGACCGAGCCCTCTTGCTCTTGAGCCTGTCGCTGAAGGCCTGGAGGTCCGCTCGCATCGCGGCGAGCCCCTCCGCCGTTGGGCCGAAGTGCCTCTTGACCTCCGTCTGGACCTGCTTGGCGAATTGGCCCATCTGCCCCTCGAACTGGCGGTGCTCCTCAGGCGGGATGTCGAGCCCCTCGAGGTCGAAGGCCTTGCCCGGCCGCACGCTGAGGATGTCCAGGTCGCCCTCGAGCAGCTGCGAGAGGTCCAGGGCTGGCGTGGGCTCCTCCACAGGCGCGACGGCCTTGGGCGCCGCTCTAGCGTAGGCCTCCTGGACCACCGCCTCCGCGTCGGCGACCTCGTGGATCCAGTTATCCCGCAGTTCCTTCTGGTCCTGCAGCCACCGCTCGCCCTCGGAGATGCTGTCGATGGTCCTCTTGAGCCCTGCCTCGGCCCTGCGGAGCCGCGCCTGGGCCTGGTTGAGGGCGACGTCTGGGTGCACCTCTGTAGTGTGCACTCGGGCAAGCGCCTCGAGGTGCTGGGCGGTCTCTGCGTCGCCGTCGGAGATGGTGGCCCGCAGCTGCTTGAGAAGCTCCTCGCGGTTCTGATTGACCGATGGGCGACTGCGGCCCCGCGAAGAGGCACCGCTGGGGCCCCAGGTGCCCTGCGAGGCTCGCTCTTGTGAGGTGGCTGGCTGCAGTCCCCTCTGGCACTTGTAGCACTCAGACCTGGCGACCCAGTTCCACTTATACCCACATCCCCTGCACTTCTCGTACTGGCTTCCAGTCCGCTGATCATCCTTCTCATTGCGCCCCATGCGCGGCCGTGAAGAACTGATATCCTGCCCAACCAGTACGGTACAGGAGCTCCTCGGAGCGTATACAAAATGTGAGGGCGCCTGCCTTGCCCAGCAGACCCCTGATGCGCGGGCCGAGCCTGCTGGGCAGCCCCTTGGTCTCTGCAAACCACCTCGAGAAATGGTTTACTTGAGCCAAAATGGCTACGGGGCGGGGGAGAGGGAGGAGGAGGAGGAGGAGGAGGAGGAGGAGGAGGAGGAGGAGGAAGAGAGGAGGAGGAAGAGGAGGATGAGGACGACAAGACGGAGGCGGCTTAACACTGCGAGCTTCGTCGCTCAGAGCCTGGCCACCGCAAAGACAGGGGGGGGACAGGATGAGGAGGGAAGGGAAGGAGGGGGAAGGAGGGGGAAGGAGGAGGAGGAGGACGGAGGGGGCGGAGGAAGGGAAGTAGGGAGATGAGAGAGAGGAAGGTATAGACGGAAGAAGGAGAGGGATGATAAGGAAGAGGAGGGGGGCGAGGGAGAGGCGCAGGAGGGTGTAGGGAGGAGAACGAGGAGGAGGAGGAGGAGGAGGAGGAAGAGAAGAGAAGAGGGAGGAGGCGGGAAGAACGGATGCGGAGGAGGTAGAGGGAGAAGGAGTGGAGGAGGAGCAAGCAGCAGCAGCAGCAGGAGGATAGGGGGAGGAGGACGCGGAGCAGGAGGAGAAGGGAGACGGAGGAGGGACAACGCGGGAGGGGGATGAGGAAGGAAAGAAGAAGCGGGTGCGGGAGGGGAACGAGAGCATTCAAACGAGCGGGGATGGGGAGGAGAAAGCAGAGGGGGAGGAGGAAGAGGAGGGAAACGAGGAGAAGGAAGCTGGTGCGACGCCAACCTGCGTACAAAAAAACACCACAGCCTGCAGACGGAGAGGGCTGGCGACGGGGCGGTGGCTGGGCAATGGAACAAGAAGAAGCTGCTGCGGGAGGACAACGAGAACAGGCGAGGAAGAGGTGCCGCAGGCAGCATCAACCCCGCAATCGACCAACCATTACCCCCATACCTCTCCTCCTCGTCCTCCTCCCCCTTACCACCACATCACCACCTCAACAATCGCCACCACCATCATCACAACAACCATCAGCATCGTCAGCCTCGGCATCATCAGCATCAGCATCAACATCAGCATCATCCTCATCACCACAACCACCACCATCATCGTCAGCATCATCCACATCATCAGTAGCATCAGCATCATCATCATCATCATCATCATCATCATCAACATCATCATCACCATCAGCAGCATCATCAGCATCATCAGCATCATCAGCGTCGCCATCAGCATCATCATCATCATCATCACCACCACCATCATCATCATCATCATCATCATCAGCATCATCAGCACCGTCGTCGTAGTCAGACTCGTCGCCGTCGGCGTCGTCGTTGTCATCCTCATCGTCGTCCGCATCAGCATCCTCAACATCAGCATCAGCAGCATCAGCATCCCTGTCAACATCCCACCACCAGCATCATCATCAGCATCAGCATCAGCATCCTCACCATAAGCATCATAACCATCATCAGCATCATCGTCAGCATCGTCGCCATCGTCGTCATCAACCTCATGATCGTCATAATCATCGCAAGCAATAGCATGCTCATCATCATCAACACCATCAGCAGCATCAGCAGCACCAAAATCAAAATCAGCATCATCATCATTATTATCATCAGCGTCATCATCATCATGATCAGCATCGGCATTATCATCATCGTCGCCGTCATCAATGTCAACGCCATCATCATCAGTCGCAGCATCGTCAGCATCATCCTCCGCAGCGTCACCATCGTCATCCTCTATCTGCGTATCATCATTACCACCGCCACCACAAGCATCGTCATCATGATCACTCTCATCGCCACTGCCATCAGCATCAGCATCAGCATCAGCCGCCTCCTCATCATCAGCATCAGCACCATCATCACCATCATCATCAGCATCATCCTCATCATCGTCGTCAGCATCATCATCATCACCACCAGTCCCATCACAATCAATTGTCCACCTCCTCCCCCTGTCCGACCCCTCCACGCGCCCGTCCCATTATTCCTCCTGAGCATCAGCATCCTCGCAGCAGCAGTGTCATCATTAGCATCATCAGCATCAGCAGCATAGAATGCATCATCGTCGTCCTCATCGTCGTCATCACCACCATCATCAGCACCATCATCAGCACCATCAACCTCACCAGCATTAGCAGCGACAGCACTCTCAGCAACAGTAACGTGCGTCGTCGTCGTCGACGTCATCAGCATCAGCATCGTCATCATCAGAACCGTCATCCCCATCATCATTCAAACCGTCGTCGTCAACATAACCGACAGCAGCATGATCAGCAGCATCGTCAGCATCATCATCAATATTATCAGCAGCAGCAGCATCGTCACCAACAGCGTCAACAGCGGCAGCATAGTTGACATCCCCATCGTCATCACAATCATGAGCAGCGTCGTCAGCATCATCATCAGCATCATAACCACCATCGTCATCAGTAGCATCATCAGCATCAGCAGCATAACCATCATCATCAGCATCATCGCCATAATCAGCATCGACATCGCCATCGCCAGCATCATCATCATCATCATCAGCATCATCATCATCAGCATCATCAGCATCATCATCATCATCATCATCATCATCAGCATCATCATCATCATCATCATCATCATCATCATCATCATCATCATCATCATCATCATCATCATCATCATCATCATCGTCATCGTCATCGTCATCATCATCATCATCATCATCATCATCATCATCAGCATCATCATCATCCGCAGCATCCTCGTCAGCGTCGACAGCATCATCGTCATCAGCATCATCATAACCATCGTGGTCGCTCTCGTCCTCATCGAAGACACCATCAACAGCATCACCACCATAATCAGCATTGGCATTAGTATCGTCATACTCATCGTCAGCATCAACAGCGCCAATATCCTACCCCTCTTCCTCCTAATCCCCATCATCCTCACCATCATCATCATCATCATCATCAGCAGCATCGTCATCATCAGCATGAGCATCACCAGCATCATCAGCATCAGTATCAACAACCTCATCCTCATGCTCATCCTCATCATCACCGTCATCAGAATCATCGTCGTCGTCGCCGGCAGCATGATCACCATCAGAATCGTCATCAGCATCATCATCATCATCATCATCATCATCATCATCATCATCATCGCCATGTTGTCGCGATCGTCATCAACATTATCGGTGCCAGCATCATCATCGTCATCATCGCAGACATCTCCATGATCAGTATCATCGTCATCCGCATCACCACCATCACCAGCACCATCACCATCACCATCACCATCATCATAATCATCATCTCCACCACCACCATCAACATCGTCATCACCATCACCATCAACAACGTCGTCGTCGTCATTCCCTCCTTCCCTCCTCCGCTTCTTTCTCCAACTCCTAACTCCTTCCTCCTCCTCCTCCTCCTCCTCAATTAAACCTCCCTCTCCCAATGCCCCCTTCCCATCTGACTGGGAGAGGGGACCTCTTCGTGATGATCTGGTCCTCTGTGATGACGTGAACGACGCCGCCCCAGCCAGCCAGGCAGTCGCGGTCCACCGCGGACAGGAGGCACCTGGCAGCCCAAAAATGGCCTCCACCACCGCCTTCACCTGAGCCTCCCCCGCAGCCGCATGCCTCCTCTCCCTCCTGCTCCTCGTCCTCCCCCTCCTCTCCTCCTCCTCCTCCTCCCCCGCCTCAGCCCCCCTCATTCCCTTCTTCCTCCTCCTCCTCCTCCTCCCTCCTCCTCTTCTCCTCCTCATTATCCTCCTCCTCCTCCCCCTCCTCCTACTCCTCCTCTTCCTCCTCCTCCTCTTCCTCCTCCTCATCCTCTTCCTCCTCTTCCTCCTCCTCCTCCTGCTCCTCCTCCTCCTTCCTCTCCTCCACCTCCTCCACCTCTTCCTCCTCCTCCTCCTCTCAAGCCATTTCAATTCGAGCTATTGTGGCCCGGGGCGGGGGGCCTCACCTCCACGTGGCTCTTGAAAGACACCCGCGCCACGATCACTGCTTGATAACTTTCCCAAGTCACGAGCGGGAGCGTGCCTTGGAGCCTTCACGGGCTGAGGGGCACGTGGCTGTGGCTGCGGGTTGAGTAAGGGGGCAAACATGTCTTCATACATGTTCGCAGCCCCCGGCGGAGCAGGGAGGTCTCAAATGCTCCGCGTTGCCCTGCGCGCCGACGTGCCTCCCAGGAGCCCACGAAAGTGGCGACGGTTGCGCAATTTGCAATAAGAAGCCGCGAGGTCTCAATCTGCGTTGCCCTCGACTCCGCCGTGCCTCGCAGGAGCATCCGAAAAACGCGACGGTTGCGCAGTCGGCAGCCCCCGACGGAGCCGCGAGGTCTCAAATGATCGGCGCTGCCCTCACCTCAGCCGTGCCTCCCAGGAGCCCACGAAAGTGGCGACGGTTGCACAGTTGGCAGCCCCCGACGGAGCCGCGAGGTCTCAAATGATCGGCGCTGCCCTCACCTCCGCCGTGCCTCCCAGGAGCGCACGGAAGTGGCGACGGTTGCGCAGTTGGCAGCCCCCGACGGAGCCGCGAGGTCTCAAATGATCAGCGCTGCCCTCACCTCCGCCGTGCCTCCCAGGAGGCCACGAAAGTGGCGACGGGTGCGCAGTTCGCAGCCCCCGACAGAGCCGCCAGTTCTCAAATGATATGCAGTGCCCTCACCTCCGCCGTGCCTCCTAGGAGCCCACGAAACTGGCAACAGCTGCGCAGCTTACATGCAGGAGACCGCACAAGATGCAGCAAGAGGTAGGCGGAGGAGGGGGTGGGGAAGGAGATACGCGAGCAGCACTCTATTCGAAACGAAAGCCCAACACAGGGGGGTTCGGGAAATATGTCTCCATGCCGACCGAACGCAACCGACGGCGACGCAGCCGAAGCGACAACGCCGCGGGCACCCTTGGCAGCCCACCTTTAGCCCTGACTTCTGGCCCCTCCCGCGGCGTCGGATGCGGCTCCGCTGCCCTCCAGGGGAACGAAGAATGACATCAACACACAAACTCGGAGGTCCGCGCGGATTTCTCGGATCCGCGCTGGAACCCCTGGCGCCGCCTCCGGCGAACCCCCCCCCTGGCGCAGCCCGCGCGCCAGGGAGGGGGGTCCAGCGCGGATCCGAGAAGTCCGCGCGGACCTCCGAGCTTGAATGCTTATGTCATTCATTTCGCTCCTCCGTCCTCGCGGCAAAATCCCGCTCCTCCGCCACCCCCCCGCCGCAGGCGCGCGCGGCCGGCCGGCGCACTGCGAGATCGTCTCGAAGAGCTCGTCCTGCGCTCGAGCATCGGGCAGCACGGGAGGAGGGGAGGGCGCGAGGGGCCCCCCATGCTCATGCAGCCGAGGCATGGCGACGAGGGCATGGGCCAAGAGAACGGCCCCCCTTCGCAGCATGCTCGAGGCATCGAAGTGCAGCACACACGAAGAGCACAACGAACGAGCATTACAAAAACGATGCCCAAAACGAGGACGACCCACACGCGACGAGCACCAAAAAATACCCCTCCAGAGCAGGGGCTGCTCTCGACCCTCGCGCCTGCTGGACGCGCGGCTGCCTCTGCGCAACCGCTGGGAACACGGTGGCGCGCGCCAGCGGTCCCCAGGAGAACGAGGATTTTGGAGGCCTGGAGATGGGCACCAACACCAACACAGGGGGTTGCCTCCACACGGGGAAAATGATCCCAGATTTCGGTGTTGGTGGTAATATTTCGGTCGTCGCCTTGGAAGCCAGAATATTGTCGCCATCACCGAGATCGGAATCTTCTTCCCCTGGTGGATGCAACACCGCCGACATTAGTGTTGGTGTCAATCTCTGTCAATCTCTAGGGCTGGGTATGCATCGCGGATGCATCGCCGCATCGCGAATGCATCGCCGATGCATCGGCGATGCAGCTCGATGTGGAGCCCGACCTTCTCCACGCCAGCGGCGCCGACGCATCGCCAACGTCGCCCTTGCGTCGCCGATGCATCGGCGGCGAGCGAGGGGGGAAGTGAGAAGGAGAAGGCCTGCTCAAAAGGCGGCGGGCCTTCAGAAGCCCTCCGGCCTTCTGAGAGGCATTTTCATATGCCGTCGGGAAAGGATTAGAACACTTATCAGAGAAGGCCGAGTGGGCCTTCCGAGCCTTCTGAGAAGAAAGCGCGCCCCTTCTCGCTTCCCCCCCTGGCTCGCCGCCCAGAGACGAGGGTGTTTTCGTTTGCCCCGAACGGCGACGGCACCTAAATTTTGGTCGGGCATGTCCCTCTACTATTTTTGAAATGTTACTCCTGTAGCGGGACAAGCCTGACTTGACCTAAATCCAGCAGTCTGCACCCGCGGGAAACTACAGGCATCAGCGGCACGGGAAGCTCCCTCTGAGAAGCAGCCGCGCGGCCACGACACTTGTGTCGGGCACGTCCCCCTGCAGGCGGAATTCTTTCAACGAGAACTTAAAAGATACTCGAAAGATACCCAGAACGATTGCCGAGAAATACTCTGAAAATCCTCTCCAACTATTATATCTATATATGTATATATATATATATAGATATATCTATATATATATATATAAATATAGATATACTCCTGTAGAGGGACAGGCCCGACTTCACACAACACCAGGTCCACCCCGCGGGAGCGAGGGCAGCCCGCGCGTCACACCTCGGCATCTCGGGCGCCGGAGGGGGGCTCCTGCTCCCGCGGCGGGAGGTCGACCGCCCCCGCGTGCACGGGTCCCGGAGACCGGGTGTCCGGATGGCCCTCGTGTCCCGAAGGTGTCCCGATGGCCCTCGCGTCGCGACGGGCGACCAGAAGGCGTTCCCATGGTTTGCTGGCGGTGCTTCGACGGTGTCCCAATGCCTTGAAGTCCTGTGCGGTGCCCCGAGGACTTACTGGTGGTGTCACGACCGCCCCCCGACGGGTCGTCGAAGACGCCGGTGATCTCACGACGGTGTGGTGCTGGCACCTCGATGCGGTCTCGTCTGTTCGCGAGCATACCCCAACAATGTCAAAGCGGTTCGCTCTTCGTGTCCCTGCAGTGCTCCTCCGGCTTGCTAATAATGCCCCAATAGTGTCTCCATGGTATTCCTGTAATTTGCTGATAATGTCTTCATGATGCTCCGGTAGGTTCTTCATGCTGTCCTGATTGTGGTCCGATGGTGACGACACACAAGGGAACTGGCTTGTTGATTGTGGCCCGATAGTTTCTCGATGGTGCGCTCATGGTGTGCCGATGGCGCTCCGATGGTGTGCCGACCGTCCGCATATATCCCGCCAGCCCTCTGGGCGACAGGCGGTATAACGATGTCTTTCTTTCCTCTTCCACAACCCCTTCTTCCCCTTCGGGGACGGGCTTACCACTGTTCCATACTAATATACATCCCCTCCTCCACCCGGCCTGCAGCCAATCCGGAACCATGCCGACCCCATGCGGGCCACTCCCCCCCACCGTCTCTGCCAGAAAGATATATAGATATACAGAAAAAATCTGCATCCAAACTTGGAGCATGCGCGGCCAACCAGTTGCGGCCCCCCCACCATCCTTGTCAAAAACAATACAAAGTACACCTTCGGCCAAAGTTTTGAGTCATGTTCGTGAGGCCCGCGGGCACTTTGTTGTGTTTTTGACCGGGACGGTGGGGGTGTCAGCATATTCCCTGCTGTGCGCAGTGCTACCCTCCCTGACAACAAACAATACAAAATGCACCTCGCGGCTAAATCTGAATCATGCGCGGCCACCCCGCGATCACTGTCAAGTGGTTTTTGACAAGGACGGCGGGGGTGGTGGCGCGTGGCCTGCTGTGCGCAGGCCCAACAGGCCCAATGATGGGCATTGGTTTTCGACAAGGATGGTTTGGGGCCGACATGTTTACCGATGTGTGCTGTCACGTGCGCGCACGCACCTGACGCACTCTGCACGTGCCCCGAACGTGGAGCACCTGGCGCGGCTGGAGTGTGTGGCACACCGAGCGCACTCGGAGCACGTGGCGCATCTGGCGCACCAGGCGGGCCTGGCACGCACGGGCCCCAGGGGTGCCTGGCGCGCGTGGCGCCCCTGGCACGCGTGGCGCACCTCGCCAAGCGTCGCGCACCTGTGATCGTCTTTGGTTCCCCATAGCTTCCCATCTAAAGACGACCGCTGATAATGCTCAGGCTCGGGTGTTGCTTATGTGTTGGGAGGGCGGGTGGGGGTGAGTTAGACGGCTTGCGGGCGGGTGGATAGCTTGATCACTGTTCCCTATCAATATACACCCCGGCCCCCAGGCGACCGGGAGCCAACCCGAGCCAATGAGGGCCCCCCCACCATCCCTTCTGAAAAAAACTATACAAAACACACTCTGCCTCCAAATTCAGAGCATGCGCACCGAACCCGATGCGGCCTCCCCCTACCATCCCTGTCAAAAAACAATGCAAAAAACAATGCAGAACACACTTCGCGGCGGCGGCGGCGGCTGCGGCGGCTGCGGCGGGGGCAGCGGCTGCGGCGGCTGCGGCGGTGGCGGCGGCGGTGGCGGCGGCGGCGGGGGCGGCGGCGGCGGCGGCGGCGGCGGCGGCGGGGCGCGGCGGCGGGGGGCGGCGGCGGCAGCGCAGCGGCGGCAGCGGCTGCGGCGGCGCGCTGATTCGGGCAGCGGGGGCGGCGGCGGCGGCGGCGGCGCGGCGGCGGCGGGGCGGCGCGGTGGCGGCGGCTGCGACGGACAGCGGCGGCGCCGGCAGCGGCGGCGCGGCGGCGGCGGCGGGCGGCGGCAGCGGCGGCGAATTCGCCCCCAGTACCTGCCCATCCAAAGACGACTGCTGAGTATGCTGCGGCTCGGGCCTGACTCGGGTGCTACGTATGTGTTGGGAGGGCGGGTGGGAGTGAGCGAGACGGTTTGCGGGCGGGGAGGGCGTCTTGACCCCTCCCCCTACCCCCCCCCTCCCCTGGACCTAGACAGGGGGAGGTGGCGAGCGGTCAGAGGCTCCTTTTTGGTCCAAGATGGCTCCAAGACAGCCTCAAAGAGCCCACGATGGCCTCCAAGATCGCTCAGGATAGCCCAACATGGCTTAAGATAGCTAACAACATACCTCCAAGAGGCCCCAAGAAGGCCACAAGACGGATCTAAGCGCTTTGGGGGGCCCCTCAAGACCTGCCCGAGAAGCCAGCATCCTTCAAAAGCGCAAAGAAAATCAATGATGCGTGCCTTTTCACCTTCTCGCTTCCGATGCGTTTTTGAGGCGCCAAGATGGCGCCGAAATAGCCCAAGAGAGCTCCGAGAGGGGCCCGAGATGACCCCCAAACGGCCCCAAGGCCGCCCAAGAGCGCCCCAAGAGAGGCCCAAGAGCGTCCCAAGAGGTTATGTTGATGGCTCCAGAAGGGGGGCCAAACATTAGGACCCCCCTCTTTTCACCGACACCCTCCGCGACAGCCCCAAGAGGCCCCCAAGAGAGCCCCAAGAAATCTCCAAGAAGGCCCTATGAAGGCCCCAACAGAGCCCCAAGAGGACCCGAAGACGCCCCAAAAAATCCTTATAGCTCCAAGAAGGCCTCCGATGCTCCAAAATAGCCTCCAGCCAGGCCCAACACGTTCCTCCCACTCCTCTCTTTGACCGCTCTGTTTCACTACATGCGTCTCTGCTTTCCATTTCCCGTCAGCTCTCGTGGGCAGGGCTTCTGAATGGGATGGCGGGGATTCGCGAAGCGTAAACAATTGTCCATATGAGATCATCTGAATGCGTTGGTTGTGTAAAAAAAACCGATCGGGTGCAAGTGGCACGGTGGCTGTGCCGGGACGGTGTCACGATGCTATCCACTGAATTTCGAAGTCTTACTGAACTGTTCACAGGGTTTGCGCACCAACTGCTTGCAAAGTGCGAACCCACTTGAAGCCAGGTGTGAAGCAATTGCCAACAACGGGGGCTCGTCAAAAACGAATCGAGAGAGAGCCACCAGTGCGTGTGTGTGTGTGTGTGATTCAGATGCGGATCAAACGTACTCCTCATGTAACATCATGTGCGAATTGGACGTCATGCAATAAGAACAACTTGAACCAACTAGGAAAGAAACACCGTACACTGATTGCGGCCTGAGCACCAAAAGCAGCATGAACAAACTGTACAATTAAGTGCCGCCACGTGGCTTAAACAATTGCCAGCTGCACAGCAATTGCAACCCCCACGACGATCGCTTACAATACAAACGTGAGGCAATTGCGAATCAAACAGCAGATGTATGATAGCACTGTGAACCACATTGGAACGACATATATTGTAGCACATGGGAGATGTACATTGGAGCCGCATGTGCTCCAAACCTGATGAGATGTTGCATAAGTGTCACTGAAACTAGGATGAAACGCGTTCCGAATACTGAGAACTTGAGGACCAGACGAGTATAGGCAAGTCAGCTGCGAACCAAATGCGAATCGGATTCAAGGCACATGTGAATTAAATGCAGATCGAATGTGAGTCAAATGTGCTACAAATACAAACAAGTTTGAATCGAACATGAGTAAAGTATAAATTATACACATAATATCCCATACCGAAAACTCCTTATCGGCGCAGGCTGGTCGCCTGGATGCAAGAAAACAAAATGATTGCCCTCGCTGTCCCTATTTCTCACGCGTCTTTTCTCGGAAATCCCACTGGATTCTGCCCTTGAACACACCCACCAAGACACCAATCGACATGTCTTCTGAGGCGAATCCTATTGGCGACGAGGGCCTCCCCAATGAAGTTGTCTACGTTCTGTGAGCGCGCGACTTGTCGGTCAAACAACACTCTTGCCAACCCCGTAGGGCATACGATGTGAGCGCCGCGTGCGGGCTGAAACAGCCGCGGGCATCCTTGTCCATGTTCGGCCGCCAGAAGGACTCGCAGACGCCGAACAACTGCTCCGACGAGGTCCCAGACACCACAAAATCCTGCCGTGCCGCAAGGCTGCGTGACTAGGGGAACCAAAAAGTGGCATAAACATAAAAACTCGGAGGTCCGCGCGGATTTCTCGGATCGGCGCTGGACCCCTCTCCCTAGCACGCGGAGCGCGCCAGGGGCGGCGCCGGAGGCGCCGCCAGGGGGGTCCAGCGCGGATCCGAGAAATCCGAGCGGACCTCTGAGTTGTTATGTTTATGTCATTCTTCGTTCCCCTAGTGACGCGAGATCAGGCGCGGACGAATGCCCGAGCCGAAAACCCCAGGCGAGGCCCACTGCCAAGCATGCGACGCGACGCGCCTCGGGCCTCCCTGCGTTTCATCGGCCTCGGCCCCTCTCTGGGGGGAAGGGTGTCCACCTGAGGATTTTCGGGTCAGGGAGTCGAGGCTAGCACTGGCCCGGAAGGAGCACCTTGCCCTCCCTGCCGGCAACCGCCGCCCACCGCTCCTCGTCCCCCAAATCTAGGACGGCGGCGCGGAGCACAGCCTTGGCCCCCAACCGAAGAGGGGGGCGGCAGCGCGAACCGAGCGGGGAGGCGGCGGCCCGCGTGTGCCCTCGTCCGAGGGAGGGGAGGGGGGGGGGGGGGGAGGGGGGGGGGGAGGGGAGGGAGGGGAGGGAGGGGAGGGGAGGGGAGGGGGGGGGAGGGAGGGGAGGGGAGAGGAGGGGGGGGGAGGGGAGGGGAGGGGGGGGAGGGACGGGGGGAGGGGAGGGGAGGGCCGTCCCCGGGAGGCCAGGGCAGAGCGCTGGAGGTGCGCGCCGGCACCCCTCCGAAGAGCGCAGGAGCTGCGTCCCCCCGCCGCCGCCGGGGGCTGGGGGGAGGCCAGCGCTTCAGCGAGAGCAACAATGTTGAGAGAAAAAACAAAACGAAAACCATTTGTCCTGGGAATCCTGTGTAAAAAAGACAGTGCGCAAAAGGGGGGCTAATATCTTCCGGACGTCATCAGGGGAGAGGGGAGAGTAGTATTCATATTGTGTAAGTGTGGAGGAAGGAGAGGCGGGGAGGGAGGGCAGGGAGGCAAGCTAGGTGCGCTCGCGTCGTATCTGACGTCCTACCCCTCCCTCCCATCCCTTACCATGGCGTAGATATCCTCTCTGTTCGCGCAGTCGGATGTCGAGCAGGGCAATGATCCCCAGAGGGTGCGTGATGCATCGCAGAGCACGGCATAGCAGGGCCTAGAAGAGCACGGCAGAGCGTAGTATGTCATAGCATGGCGTGGCGTTGCGTAGTGAAGAATTGCATAACAAAGCATTGCAACGTACATCATGGCATCGCACAGCGGCACAGAACAGACCATGGCATAGCATGGCGTTGAAGATCAAGGCGTAGCATGGCTTAGCACGGCGGGGCATTGCGTAGTCAAGCACTGCATATACTAGCATTGCAGCTGAAGGCATGGCGTCGCACAGCGGAACACCACATAGCATTGCATTGCATGCCGTGGCATGGGACTGGAAATAATGACGTTACCGCTACAGCGGGAGCACGACTCGGAACGAGCGGAAGCGCGGAAATGAGGCCAGCGGGGCACGATTCGGAACGAGCGGAAGCCCGAAACTGAAGCCAGCGCTTCAGCGAGAGAAACAAGTTTGAGAGAAAAAACAAAACGAAAACCATTTGTCCTGGGAATCCTTTGTAAAAAAGACAGTGCGCAAAAGGGGGGCTAATAGCTTCCGGACGTCATCAGGGGAGATGGAGAGTAGTATTCATATTGTGTAATTGTGGAGGGAGGAGAGGCGGGGAGGGAGGGCAGGGAGGCAAGCTAGGTGCGCTCGCGTCGTATCTGACGTCCTACCCCTCCCTCCCATCCCTTACCATGGCGTAGATATCCGCTCTATTCGCACAGTCGGATGTCGTAGCAGGGCATGGCACTACATGGCATAGCATGGTGTTGCAAATTCACGCGTAGCATGACATAGCATGGCGTGGCGACGCCCCAAAGTGGGGGGGGGGCTTCTGCGGCCAAAAAATCAACGAATCGACATCGAATGCGGAATCACTTCCGATGGTTGTTCGGGGGGCAGTTTCTAGATGGTGGGCCTAGTTGGAAGGTCCGAAAAACACGCCGTGGCATGGCGTTGGAAATCATGACTCCAGCGCTGCAGCGGGAGCACGATTCGGAACGAGCGGAAGCGCGGAAATGACGCCAGCGCTGCAGCGGGGGCGCGATTCAGAAGACGCGTAGCCTGACATAGCATGGCGTGGCGACGCCCCAAAGTGGGGGGGGGCCTCTGCGACCCCAAAAATCAACGAATCGGCACTGAAGGTGTGATCACTTCCGATGATTTGTTCTGGGGACATGTTTTAGATTTGAGGCCTACCTGGCAAGAACCGAAAACCATGCAGTGGCATGGCGCTGGAAATAATGACGCCACCGCTGCAGCGGGAGCACGGTTCGGAACGAGCGGAAGCGCGGAAATGAGGCCAACGCTGCAGCGGGGGCACGATTCGGAATGAGCGGTAGCCCGAAAATGAGGACAGCGCTTCAGCGAGAGCAGCATTGTGGAAAAAACAGCGAAAACAAGTTTCCTAGGAATCGTGGAAAAAAAACAGTACGCGGAGGGGGGGGGCGGCGAATATTTCCAGGACGTCACCACGGGAGAGAGGATAGTTTTGATATTGTTTGATTGTCGAGGGAGGGGAGTGAGGGGAGGGGAGGGAGGGCATGGGAGGGGAGGGAGGCAAGCTAGGTGCGCTCGCGTCACATCTGACGTCCTACCCCTCCCTCCTACCCCCTACCCTGGCGTAGAAGTCCTCTCTACTCGCACAATCGGATGTCGCAGCATGGCATGGCACTACATGGCATAGCATCATGGTGAAGACTGACGAGCAGCATGACGGCGCACGGCGTGGCGAGGCCCCAGAGTGGGGGGGGGGCGCATCTGCGGCCCCAAAAGATCAACGGACGGACACCGAACGTGGAATCACTTCCGATGGTTTCTTCGGGGGCAGGCTTGGAAGGACCGACAACCATGCCGTGGCATGGCACTGGAAATAACGACGCCACCGATGCAGCGGGAGCACGATTCGGAGCGGGCGGGAGCGCGGAAACGAGGCCAGCGCTGCAACGGGAGCACGATTCGGAACGAGCGGTAGCCCGAAAATAAGGCCAGCGCTTCAGCGAGAGCAGCATTGTGGGAAAACCCAAGCGCGGAAACGCGGAAATGAGGACGGGTAGCCTGACATAGAATGGCATGGCGAAGCCCCGAAGTGGGGGGGGGCTTCTACGGCCAAAAAATCAACGAATCGACACCGAATGTGGAATCACTTCCGATGGGTTCTTCGGGAAGCATGCCTGAGATGCTGGGGCCTGTTTGGAAAGACGAAAACCATGCCGTGGCATGGCACTGGAAATAACGACGCCACCGATGCAGCGGGAGCACAAGTCGGAGCGAGCGGAAGCGCGGAAATGAGGCCAGCGCTGCAGCGGGAGCACGATTCGGAACGAGCGGTAGCCCGAAAATAAGGCCAGCGCTTCAGCGAAAGCAACATTTTGAACAGAAGCCCAAGCACGAAAGCGCGGAAATGAGGACGGGTAGCCTGACATAGCATGGCGTGGCGACGCCCCAAGTGTGGGGGGCTTCTGCGGCCAAAAAAATGAAAGAACGGGTACTGAATGTGGAATCACTTCCGATGATTGTTTCGGTGGGCATATTCTAGATTGTGGGGCCTACTTGGAAGGACCGAAAAACATGCCGTGGCATGGCGCTGGAAATAACGTCGCTACCGCTGCAGCGGGAGCACGATACGGAACGAGCGGAAGCGCGGAAATGAGGCCAGCGCTGCAACGGGAGCACGATTCGGAACGAGCGGTAGCCCGAAAATGGGGACAGCGCTTCAGCGAGAGCAGCATTGTGAAAAAAAACAGCGAAAACCCGTCTCCCGGGAACCCTGCGCAAAAACAAATACGCGGAGGGGGGCCGAACAATCCCCGGACGCCACCAGGGGAGAGAGGAGAGTACTCTCCATATTGTTTAATTGTGGAGGGAGGGGAGGGGAAGGGAGGGGAGGGGAGGGAGGGGAGGGCACTCAAAAGCCCTGAGAGGAACACGGAGGTCGCCGAGGGGGCGAAGCCAGGGCTTCGGCCCTCCGGAATCGTGAAAGCACCCTGCACCTGATAGCCTGGGCGCATCCGAGTGGAATCCCAAGATGCTCCGACCTGGATTCCCAGCGGTGGGCCTGGGGGCCGCGGGAGACTCTCGATCCTCAGGGATGTTCACACAGGTCTAAATCAAACTCAATCGCTTCGAGCCCCGCAAACGATGAGGGCCATCGGCCGAGGCTTGCAAACGACTGGACACGGTCGACCCGCGACAGCGCCAGTGGGAGCCCTCGGTCCAGAGGGCCCCAACCCTGAGCACACCTGCGCGTAGCCTTAGGTCGAGCCTGTCCCCCTACAGTGGGGTTTTAGGCGAAAAAAATCAATAAATACAGTGATTAATTTTCAATATTTTTGAATATTCCTCCTGTGGAGGGACAGGCCCGACTTACGCGTAGCCCCCAACCCTCTTCTCTCACTCCGTCCCTCGGTCGTTCCCTCTCCCTCCTTCCCTGCAACCGTCCCCTGTCCCTCCCGGGCGTGCATTACATCTACCCATCGCAGGCTGCGGCTGGCGATCTCGCAGCTTTCCATGCGAACTCCTGTGAACTCGCATGCCGTGTCATTGAATGCCATGCGAACTCGGGTATGTCCACGGGTGAGGCCGTGGAGCATGGCATCAGAAGCATAACGGCTTTGCGTCAGTGCTGCTGCTGATCGAATTGCTGGCGTGGCTGCTGACGCCCATCGGGTGCCAAGCAGGGGCCGAACCGACGTGGGTCTTGCCTAATGGAAGGCAGACCTCGTCTGGCACCAGCTGCCAAGGGCTACTCATGGAGCCAATCCCTGGTGCAGCGCGAAGATCACAGGCCTCCCACTTCCGCTTCATCGCCTCCGCTATGGCTGCTTTGCTGACATGTGTTGCGTCACGGTGGCAAGAGCTGCGGCCGTTGCCGAGACAGCGCCGCGGCGAAAACACTCAGGGAGTAGTTGAGGACTCCATGCTTACCCTTGCTGTGTACGGCTGACGACTGTATTGTACCACGTCCAGGTGACATGCTGCGCGTTGTCCGAGGGCGCGTGCATTCCACACATGCAAGAACTCAGATGTCGTCCTGCTATTGCTGGCTTCGGCTAGGTCAATGGCCACAGGTCCTCAGCAGTGAATGAAGAGTTCCGCTGGGAACGTCATGCAAAGATGCGTTCCCTTAGGGGATGTCCCCTTCCTCCTCACCTCCTTCTCCGCTGCCTTCCGGGATTTAAGCTATCCCGTTCTCCTTCTCCTTTTACCTCCCTTTCTTTCCCTTCCCTCTCTAGTCTTCCCTTCACGAAGTGAACGGAGGAGGGAAGAAGAAGAGGAGAAGAAATGAGCCGGTCCGTGACTCCCGTGATCTAGCATTCGCGACGGCACGAAAGCAGATTGGGCTCCGCACCCCAACCGTCCTTGGCCTGAGACATGGCCCCGATGAAGTCGAAGGCGCACATGAACCTGGCAGGAGGCGGACCGCTCCAGAGAAAGACCGATCGAAAGTCCCACAGCCCGGGTCAAAAAACGCAGCGGCACAAAAGCAGGAATCGTACAATAAGATTTGGACGTCGAAACATAAAAACTCGAACAACAAGCAAACAACGTCAGCCGAGCCCTCCAGATGACAAGCCGCAAAACCTAACTATCCTCACCCTTGCGAGGATCAGCGATCGCCACGAACTGGCCATCTGCCAAGCTGGAGCTACCTGCCAAGCTATTGGAAGGACCTGAGGCCAGAGCTGTCTGCCGCCGACTGGTGCAAGACGACGCGGCTAACGAGCGAAAGCCGTGACGAGCGGACAGCTTACTCGAGCAGCTGAAGGCGAGGGAAAGCAGCACGAGGCTTACAGTAGGAGCCCGACCACAGGAAACTTCCCACAAGAAACCCAACCCTGAGACCCCAGGACGCCCATTCATTTGGTGGGAACGTCACGCTTTCCATATCGAAACCATCGAAACCCAAGAAACCCAGGGAACCCTGGAGGCAAGCAGGGTGTTTCTTGGCATGGGCCCCCACTGCACGAGCCGTTGACGACCACAGGCCTTCAGGGCTGGGGCTCCAAGCTTACGAAGAGCGCCGCCGCCAGCAGGGCGCGGTGCAGCAGCGGCCCAGCATCAGACGACCGAGTTTCGGCTCCGGCGGCCGATCCCACGTAGGCCAGAGGCCACCCTTAGGGCGACGAAATCTATACATATCCGAGAGAGCGTGATCCACCGCCGCTTTACTGTGGAAAATTGCCGCCCTTTTCCTCCGGAACCCGGGGGTCCCCCCCCCCCCTCCCGAAAATCCTCCCCCCCCTGCTGGAACCCCTCCCCCCCCCCCTTCCCCCGGCAAAACCCCCCCCCTCCCCTATGCCCCCCCCCTCGAACTCGAAAACCGAGGGGGGTCACTACCGGTTCGAACCCCCCCCCCTCGAAAACCGGAAGGGGGGGGGTACCGGTTCGAACCCCTCCCCACCTCCCCTCTCACCTCCAGCAAACCCTCTCACCTCCAGCAAACGACTCCCGGTCCCTACCACCGTCCTCACCACATCCCCCACTGTTGTTCCCAGCACCACTGTCCTCACCACCACTGTCCCCACTGGTTCCACCACCGCCCCTACTGTCCCCACCAGTGCCACCACCACTGTCGCACTGTCCCCCACTGTCCCCACCACTGTTCCCACCACGGTTTCACTCTCCCAACTTTCTCCACTACTATCCCCACTGTCCCCACTGTCCCACTGACTCCTCCGCTGTCCCACTGAGCTGTCCCACTGTTCCCACCACTGTCCCCACTGTCCCCACTACTGTCCCCACTGTACCTCTGTCCCATTTTCCCACCGCCGTGCTCGCCACCGCCTTCACCACTGTCCCCACCACCACTGTACCCTCCACTGTCCCACTGTTTCCACCTCATTCCCACTGTCCCCACACCACTGTCCCCACCACCACCGTCCCCACCACTGTCCACTGTCCCCACTGTTCCCACCATTGTCCTCACCACTTTCCCCACCACTACCGTCCCCACCACTGTCCCACTGTCCCCACCACTGTCCCGCTGTCCCCTCACCACTGTCCCCACCACCACCGTCCCACCACTGTCCGCACCCTCCCTCGGTTTTCGAGGGGGGGGTTGTTCGCACCGATCTGAAAAAAAATAAGTAATCAAATGTACTGACCTCCTCCGGTTTTCGAGTTCGCTTGTGAGTGGGTTCGAAAAAAAAAAAGATACCCGCCCCCCCCAATACAATGATGAACTGGGTGGGGTACAACAGGAACGTTTTTCCAGATTGGTTGGGGGTAGGGGTACGAACCGGTAGTGACCCCCCCCTGTTTTACTTTTCCGCCAGCAGCGGTAGAACACGCTCTTTCACATATCCGCTGCTCTCTGGCCAGGCCCACCCTGAACCCAGCAGCTGTGTATACGCCCTTCTGGCCAAGCCAGGAGGCCGTCGCGTATACACCGCTGCCAGGTTGAGGATAAACGTAACCAGAGAGCAATGGATATGTATAGATCTCGTCACCCTAACCCTGGCGAGCCCACGACCGGAAAGAGCGGACCAAAGAGATCCGCGAGGCTCCCCGAAGGCCCCCGTTTGTGCAGCTCTGTGGCTCTTCGACGTGAGGCCAGCAACCCTGGCACACTGAGAGGCAGCGTTGCGGGGGGACCAGGGGACCAGCTCGGGAGGGGCAGCGGGTGGGTGGGTGGGTGGGGGAACATCGACCTGGAATCGGCGATACATATATATATATATATATATACATACGTAGGAGAACCATCGCGCGCGCTTCGCGCGCGCTCAAGTTCTAGCGAGCTTCCTGGGGCCTCCTCGGAGCATCCTGGACTGCTTCTTGAAGTCGTCATGGGACCTTCTTGGCATGTCTTCGGGGGCCTCTTAGAAAGAATTTCGAAGCCTTTTGGGTGCCGTCTTGGGGCCTCTTGGAGCCTCTTTGGGGCTTCTTGGGGGCCTCTTGGGGCCTCTTGGGGGCCTCTTGGGGCCTCTTGGGGGCTTCCCGGGGGCATCTTGAGGCCTCTTGGGGGCATCTTGGGGCGGAGAGCTTGATTTTCCGGTTCGCGTTCCCTCTCTTGGGCCCCTTTTTGGGGTCTTCTTGGGACCCTCTTGCGCCGTCTTGGGATGCTCTGGGGCCGTCTCGGGGCTCTCTCGGGCCGTCTTGGGGCTCTCTTGGGGGCCTCTTGGGCGGTCTTGGAGCGGTTTGGGGAGCCTCTTGGGCGGTGCTTTAGCGCCGGAAACACGACACAGCGAGAATGCAAACAACAGTAAAACAAAAAAAAAAAAAATCAAAATCAACGATTTTGCCCTCTCGGGGCGCTCTTGGGCGGCATCTTAAAGGCCTCTTGGGGCGTCTTGGGGGCCTCCGGGGCAGTTTAAAACGCATCGTGCGTCGCCAGAGACCCCTGGACGGCGTCTTCGGGGTGTCTCGAGACCGTCTTGGGCCGCCGGGATTGCTGTTTGAGGGCTCCCTGGGGCGATTTTAAGCCTCCCAGAGGCGGGCCCGGGCCCCGGGCCCCACATTTGCGGTCGAGGCTCTGGCCCTCGGCCCCCGGAACCGTTCCCCCGTAATATGTGTTGTTAAAAGAAGATTATAATATATATATATATTTTTATAATATATATAAATATATATAAATTCATGTATTAACAGAACCGCCGATAGATCGGCGACTGGCTCTCGATAGCGAATCCGAACGTTCCTGGGCGGGGTGGGCACTCGGGCCCCCATCGGCGATCCATGGGCGAATGGGGGTCCATGCACCCTCCCCTGATGAAGGGGCCCAGGTACACACAAGTGAATACCCACAAATCCCAGGATTCCCCATAGTTCCCCATATGTTATGGGCTTTCGTCTTCCCCCCACTTCCCATAGTTTCCCATTGTATTTTCCGCGGGATCGACGATGAATTCTGTCTGTGTTTGTGAACGATTTTCTATTGGGCGTTTCGGCATTGGGCCGAAAGGGAGGGAGGGGGGGGGCGTCTGGCTCTGGACCTCTGCTCAGTGCGACTGTTTGCAGCAGTGCGGCCGATGGGGAAGGGACCCCACCTGCTCGAAACAGGCACCAAAGACAGCCAAGAAGAACTCCACGGGGGGAGGGGGGGGTGCGAGGGCCAGCGCCGATCGGCAAAACAATGAATAAAAAAACGCCCGCTTTTCCCTCAAGTCCTGAGCCTGCACCGCCCCTGACCTTCCCCTGGGCACTGCGCACCGCCGAGGAAGGCCCCACGAGCGCGACAGGGACGACAGGAGAGGCGCACCAGATGCGACGCCCGGCGCGCCTGGAGCCTCTGCACCGCGCGCGGTGCATAGTGCACGGGAGAGGCGACGGACCGAAGGCCGAAGGAGGAGGAGGATGAGGAGGAGGACCAGTGTAAAACCAAGAGTCATCAACGATGTTGAAATGAACCCTCCCTCCAAGCTCCCTCTTCATGGGCCCCCACATCGGTTCATTTCCACTGTGGGAACTGCCTCGTTGGAAGACAACCGTTCGAAGATCCTGAAACATGCCAAAGCATTGTTCTCGGATTTCAACGCCACGTATCAACCTGACTGCTGCGTCTTGACGATCCGAAATCGTGCCAGAGCGCCATTTTGGGGGACTTCAACACAGCAAATCAACATAACTAACTGCTGGACCCACATAATCCTGAATCCGTCCAAAACACGATTTCTGGTGCGTTGATCATGGAAACCCGTTCAAGCCTTGCAAATGTTTAAAACGAATGTGCGCGGCGCTAAGGCTAGAGCCACATGTTGAATCCGACCCGCCCTCAATCCGTGAAACTCTTGTAAGTGTGTAAAACGAGTGTGCGCGGCGCTAAGGCGAGAGCCACATGTTGAAAACAAGCCGCCCCCAATCCGTGAAGCTCGTGCAAATGTTAAAGCGAATGTGCGCGGCGCTAAGGCGAGAGCCACATGTTGAAAACAAGCCGACCCCAATACGTGGAACTGCTGCACATGTTTAAAGCGAATGCGCGCGGCGCTAAGGCGAGAGCCACATGTTGAAAACGGGCCGCCCTCCATCTGTGAAACTGTTATCATTGTTTTAGCTTCGGAGTCACTAGTGGTAAGGAAGTCTCACGCGAGACGCCTGGCCCGCCCTAAAAACTGGCCTCGGGGGTGCGACAGGCAGGAGTTATCTATAAGGAGGAGGAATGGAGGGAGCGACCTCTGGCAACGCCCCAGCTAAAGTAGGGACAATCGAACGGGTTCGCGCCGTCCGCTGGAAAACGCGGAGGCAGCAAGGGAGCGTCCACCGCGAGAGAAACAGGGGTCCACAGGACAGCTCTCCTGTCAGCGCCTGCGATTTGAACCAAGACTTCCCCCTCATCCTACTCCTCCTCGCTCCCTGGACTGCGATGGCGTTCGATCCAGAACCTGGCATGGCCGTCGCCCAAAGAAGCCCACGTGCCAAATCCTCAATGGGATCTGGGCATCCTGGGCCCATCTGCGGGGATCCCAGTAATTCGCAAGACCGCCTCCCAAAATGGGAGAGTCTTCCCCCAAAAAGAATGACAAATGGAACCGTCCGTGCCGTCCTTCAACGGATATCCTGCTCCCCTCCTCCTCTCCTCCTCATCTTCCTCCTCCTCCTCCTCCTCCTCCCTCCTCCTCATCTTCATCCTCATCCTCCTCGTCCTACTCGTCCCCGTCGTCCTCCTCCTCGTCCTCCTCCTCCTCCTCCTCCACCTCCTCCTCCTCCTCCTCCACCTCCTCCTCCTCCTCCTCCTCCACCTCCCACCCCTTGTCCACCTTCCTCCTCCTCCTCTCCTCCTCCCTTCCTCCTCCTCTCCTCCTCCTCCTCCTCATCTTCCGTCCTCCTCCTCCTCCTCCTCCTCCTCCTCCTCCTCCTCCTCCTACCTCCTTCCTCCCTCCCCATCGTCCAAACCACGATCCACATCCCGTTATCCTCCACCTCCCACCTAAACCCCTGCTCTCAATCCTCCTCCTCCACCCACACCACCACTCACCTCTCTCTCCCCCCTTAACCACCTCCCTCTCTCCTCCACCTCCCCTCCTCCTCCTCCTTCTCTCCACCACCTCCTCCACCTCCTCAACCTCGTTGATCCTCCCCTCCTCCTCCTCCTCCCTCCACCTCCTCCTCCTCCTCCCTCCTCCTCCTACCTCCTCCTCCTCCACCCCGTCCTCCTCCTCCTGCTCCTCCTCCTCCTCCTCCTCCTCCGCCTCCTCCTGCCTACGTCTACTCCTCCCCCTTCCTCAACCTCACACGCTTGCGTCTACAACGCCGACGTCGCTTCCGCACCCGTGCTCCTCCGATTTTTCCCCTCCCTCTTGGCAGGAGGGAGGCAGGCCCTGGACCCCAGGGCTCTCTCCTGGGCCACCTCTTCGTCCCGACTCGCTTGCTGCCAGTCCCCCGACGCTGGCAAAGGGCACCGGGAGGCCGAGGACGGCGTGAGCAAGTCTGGCCCTCGCCTCGCCCTGCTTAGTGCTAGCCTCGGCCGCTGTCGGGCAGCGTGGTGCCCTGCGGCCGCTCCTCGGGCCAGGTCGGCTCCACTAGAGAGCACAAGATCCGACTCGAGAGCCATCACCCCGACGCGCGAATCCCTTTCGCGAACGCACCCAAGGAAGGAATGCGAGCGTTCTTTTTTATTCGCGTTTCGACATTGGGCGGAAAGGGGGGGAGGGGGGGTCTGGCTCCAAACCTCTGCTTAGTGCGACTGTTTGCAACAGTGCGGCCGATGGGGGAGGGACCCCACCTGCTCGAAACAGGCGCCAAAAAACAATGAATAAAAAAACGCCACCGAATCGAACAGGGCAGAGCTGTTTAGTAAACAGCCCGGGGCCGTTTAGTAAACGCCAAGTCTCGGGTCTTGGTGGTTTTTCCTCCCTTGAACCAAGAGCCCCCGGCTTCGGCGGCGAGCCCTGGGGGGAAGTGAGAAGGGGCGGGCCTTCTCAGAAAGCTCGGAAGTCCCCTGGCCTTCTTAGAAGTTTCCGAAGCCTTCCACGAATGACCAGAAAACTTCTCAGAAGGCGCGAGGGCTTCTGAGAAGTCCCGCCGCCTTCTGAGAAGGCCTTCTCCTTCTCAGTTCCCCCCTCGCTCGCCGCCGATGCATCGGCGACGCAAGGGCGACGTTGACGATGCGTCGGCGCCGCCGGCGTGGCGAAGGTCGGGCTCCACATCAAGCTGCATCGCCGATGCATCGGCGATGCATCCGCGATGACCCCATCTGGGAGGCCCAGATGTGCTTGGTTCGCCTTGAAAACGCCCTGCGCATTTTTTGCGTTTTCAACTTTGGGCTCTTGACAGGCTGAAAACGCTAACAACAAAAAATGTTACGTGTTTGTTAGCGTTTTAGGGCCGCCGTTTTGACGTTTTGTTTGTTGCGCTTGTGTTGGCGCGTTCAGGCTGAAAACGCTGAACCAATGTCTGAAAACGCTGAAACACCGCAGCACTGTTTTAGCATTGTTTTTTTTGTCAAGACCTGAAAACGCTTACAAAAAATGATGTCCAAGACGCCGAGCTGAAAACGCTAGAAGAACGCCCTGGGCAGATTTGAGGCGAACCAAGCAGATGTGCACACGTACCGATCCTTTTGTGTGACCCAAAAGGGGGTCCAACTGAATGGGGTTGGTACAATAGATTTGGGGCCGTTGTCTTGCAAATGTACTGCCCTGAAGAATTGTGTTGCGTTGGTATTGCAAGTAGTGTACTGCACGCGAAAATGCAGCAACACATCCGGGCCCCGAAGTGTATTGCACGCTCCAAATGTATTGCAACCCCATAGATCTGTTGCACCACATCTATTGCACCACCCCCTTGTCGCTGGACCCCCTTCGGGGATCTTCTGACCCGGGTCAATCCAGACCCGGGTCAATCAGGCCTTGCAGAATCCTGCAAGATCCTGCACCCAAACCCGGGTCAACGCGAAGGATCCTGCAAGATCCTGCGGGATCCTGCGCCAAGATCCGGGTCAGTGCGGCCCTGGCCCTGCAGGATCCTGCGAGATCGGGCGCTCTGGCTGACCCCCGTTTGCACTGACCCCCGTCTCAAGGCTCCCGCCCCCTTTTGGGTCAACCCGAGCCCTGGGCAAGCTCGCCACGGGCCCGGGAACGGTGCGCGCGCGCCCTCCGGGCAGAGGCTCGGGCACCGGCCCCGGAGCCACGCGAGCCCTGCCAGGGTCGGGACACGCGCGCGCGCTCTCTTCAGCCGACCCCGGCGGCCTCCGCCGCCCCCGAGGGATCCTGGTTGGGCGTCGCGTACTGGGGTGGGGTCCTCCTCCTCCTCCTCCTCCTCCCTCCTCCTCCTCCTCCTCCTCCTCCTCCTCCTCCTCCTCCTCCTCCTACTCCTCCTCCTCCTGGGCGATGCAGGGGGGGGGGGAGCGCAGCGAGGGCTGCAGACGAGGGGCCCTGCAAGGCCTCTGAAAGGGGCCCCGGGAGGCCCACAAGGAAGCCCTCCGGGCCCAGAGGGTGCGCCTCTCTTCCTCGGGCGGCGATATCCATACATATCCACTGCTCCCTGGCCAGGCCTATCCTGAACCCAGCAGCGGTGTATGCGCCACGCCCTCCTGGCTGGCCCAGGAGGACGTATACACAGCTCCTGGGTTCAGGATGGGCCTGCCCAGGGGGGGAAATAAGTCAGCGGATATGTATAGATTTCGCCGCCCGACTTCCCCCCGCCCACCCCCCATTTGCCGCAGGCGACGCCCAACCTGGAGTCTCTCCGAGGCCTCCAGGGACCCCCTCGAGCTCGCCAGGGGCCCCCAGAGTCCCCCAGAAGAAGACAGAAGCACCCAATAACCTGGACCCTCGAAACTCGACTTCGGTCGGGGCCTGTCCCCCTACAGGTGGATGTTGGGCTTTTGGGCGAAAAATGAAAATATCTAAAAATATTCAAGAATATTCCAAAATAGTCCAAAAATCGCCCATTGACTATTTATCAAAGTATTTTTAAACATTCCTGCCGTAGAGGGACAGGCCCGACTCAAACCTCGACCCTCGATGCCTGCGACAGGGGCCGCTTCTGGACCGGGCTGCTGGAACCTCGTCCCCCCCGGCCTCGCCAGGCACGAGCCCCTCCGGCTCCCTCGCGCGACCCCGAGCATTACGACTTCGCCGTGTCTCGCACGGTCACAGCCCGCGGCGACGCCCAGGGCGAGCCCCGCGCAGAGTGAGGCAGGAGCTGCGGCAGGCCTTCGCCCAAGAGGCTGTCCGTAGCCCACGTCGGTCACACCGACCGGCCCCGTCGGCCCACTCCCCCCGCCCGGCCTGCCGCGCGGCAGCGCGACGGCGCGGGCGCCTCGCGGCGCCGAGCTTGCAGCGGCCGCGGGCGCGCCGACGATCTTGGCTCGCCATCGGCGGAGGCCGGGAGGGGCACGCGGGCGACGAGAGGGAGCGAGCGAACGCACGGCCGACTCCGCCTGCCGCGCAGGCCATCCGTGGCCCTTCGTATCCACAAGGGGGCCCCAGGCTCTGGGCCTGCAGATGCCCCGCGGCGAGAGGGCAAGACAACGAGGAACGGGAGGAGGAGGAGGAGGAGGAGGAGGAGGAGGAGGAGGAAAGGAGGAGAGGAGGAGGAGGATGAGTGATGGGGGGGGAGGGGGGGGAGGAGGAGCTCATGGGCAACGACGGGTGGGGGGGGGGTGGGGGTGGTGGTCAATCGGCGCCGGGCGCCGCGCCCGGGCCGCAACGCGCGCCGGGAGCACGGGTCCCCCGCGCTGTCGAGGCCCGCGACCACGGGCTCGGTGAGCCAGGGCCCGAAGCGGGACTGGTACCTGGGCCCGCGGGAGGCGCCCGGCCCCCGCCCGCCCGCTCCCCCGGGGGAGGGCCCGCGCACGGCGGGGGCCCCGCACGGCGGGGCACGAGGGACGGCGTAAAGGAAGGGCCCCCGATATTTTCCCATCTTTTCTGGGTTTCGGTCGTCCCCCCCCCCACTGCCCATGTTTTCCCATATCTTCTGGGGGATCGACGATGACTTGTGTCTGCGTGTTTTTCCTCCTCCTGAGTAAACATAAAAACTCGGAGGTCCGCGCGGATTCCTCGGATCCGCACTGGACCCCACTCCCTGGCGCGCGGAGCGCGCCAGG